TCTGTCTTTAACTGTTAACGCTCGCAATCCCAATAAAGCATTCAAATTTATTTTGTTCGGAGTCCTCTGATCTTTCACTTGGGTACCGGGTCAAGGGAGGGAGGGAGGGTGGGGAGGTCTGGATCCTGGGGAGGGGGCAAGATGGGAAGAGGTAGGCGGTGTGGACCCCTCCTCTGGGCCACTGCAGCAATGGGCTGCAGGGAGAAGGGCCTCGGCGGTGGAGTGGGGGCTCTGGGACCATCTCAAGTGCCAAGTCCTCAAAGACAGGGAGCCATGGGACAGGAAGGGCCCTAGAGGGTCTTTTCCAGGAGCCCACCGATGGGGAGTGAAGTGACTTGGCTGTCAACCCTAAGGAACTCTCCCAGCCCAGGGGGCTGGGGCCTGGCCAGGTTCTGAAAGCTTCTGGAAACTGTAGCTGTGGCTGGAGATGACTCAGAGCTACTCATACCTGGGGACTCATGTCACCTGTGTGCCCACCTGTACAACAGACACACTCCCCCTTCCCCCAGGGTTGTCCTCAGGTCTGGAGTGGTGTCCACACGGGCGGCCACACTGCCCACGCTCACTAGAACTAAGCAGGGTGGTGGGATGCCTGGAGGAGGTGGAAGCAGCCTACAAGAACGAGGAGGGCTGGGAGGATGGGAAGGAGCAAGCTGGTTGGGGGTCACCGTGCCCCTCTTAGGGCAACCGGGGGCCTGCCAGGTGGGGCAGAGGGCTCAGGCCCCAGCAGTGCTGGCCAACCCCACAAAGAGGCACCAAGACACTTTCAGGGGTTGGGGTGTGGACCCAGCTTGAGATCCTCTGAGAAGCCCTGCCTGGTGCCCCCTCCCAGGACCCTTGGATGCTGGGCTCAGGGTCTCCCTTGCTCCCTGCTCTGGGCAGCCCAGCCGCCTCGCCCTCACTGCATCCCGTTCACCCACACCTCTGCCTGCAGCCTGCTTTCCCGAGGACCCCCACGACCTCCGCTGACCATGGGGCAGCCCACGGCACAGCCAGCCATCCCCCAGCTCTCCTGAGTTAGACCCCACCCTTCCCCTGACTGCCATGGCCGCCCCCACCCCACTCTGCTTGGCCAGCCAAGTCCCGGGTGCCCTGGGCCTGCCCATCTCTCCTCACCCTCTCCCCCTGCTCTGCCAACTCCCAGCTCACCCCGGGGCTCCCTTCATTCATTCATCTAGTCACTCATCATTCATTCGCACGTGCGTGGGAGGATGGTCGCCCAGGTGCAGGTGTCTTGGAGGGACATGTTGGGGTGCTCTGTCAAGTGGATGGACTCACAGGGACAGTGACTCAGGAGTGCAGGCCTGAAGGAGGCAACGGCAGGCG